TGAATGACTTTTCTGTCTCAGGAACTTAACTATCCCTACTCATTGAGGAACTATATATACTTGGAACTCAGTCATGAATGACTTTTCTGTCTCAGGAACTATCCCTACTCATTGAGGAACTATATATACTTGGAACTCAGTCAAGAATTACTATCACAGCTCTTTAGAAATTATTATCCGTGCTCATTCAAGAACCACCATCCCAAGTTGATACCTCATGAACTACTTTACCATCAGATTCAGGAATTAATTTTCTGATTCAATCATGAACTACTCTCTTGACTCATTTAAGAATTATTATGCCAGCTTATTTAGAAACTACTTTCCTTGCTTGTTCAGAAAATATATTATTTCAGAATTTCTGGAATAAGTTACACTCTAGTAAACACAAGCCAGCTTTAGTCATAGACAAACCCTAAATTCTCTTCCGAGCTTTAATAATGATAGTGGTCAAACCTATCACTGATGAACTGGAGTCCAAAACAGAATCAGACTAAAAATGAAGATTGATAACATGGCAATAGTTTAGCATTATACTAGTGTAAAAGACTTGATTAATTTAGCGGTTCCAGTTCAGAAAAGATCCTTGTCTGAATGATTCCAAGCAGCTCCATTGATACTGTTGTGTGTTGCTGACAGTTGATGTATATTACTCTGCCTTAGTCTGGCTTATAGCCCAATGGAGTATGAGGAGAACGGTAAGCAAATCACATCACCCTTAGCGTCAATATGAAGTGCAGAACCATTTGCACCATGAAGACACTAATAGGTTTACCACCGTCTGACAGTCATTAATCCCGGAATAGTTACAGGACATTAGCCTTTTAGCAGTGCTTCCAGTCTAAATACAGGAAACTTGGTAAAAAGGCTATTACATTAATTTAGATAACTGATTGAACAGAAAATCGTTGACCATATTCATGGACATTAACTCACATATTTTTAAAATCATATTTATTCAGTTTGGATTAAAAATTATGCCCTTTTGAAATTCAAACAGTTAAGGTAAATTTTACCTAGAAGATTCTGTATATAAATGTTCATAATACTTAAAAGAATCACGATCTAAAAAGACCATAATAACTCAGTCTGTAGCAGACTACATTGTTTATCCTATGGGTGTCCAAAAGGTCAGTAGTATTTGTCTGCACAAACAGCTTTGTCCCTGTCGTCAGATTTAACACAAACAGTCAGAGCCGTTGATTAGTTGTCACCTTTCACTGATGGCATTAATTATATCACACGATAGTGATAGGATTTTGCATGGAGATTTCTGTACTGAAATTTGCCAAAAAGGTTTCTTCCCTGTACATATATACTGACCTATGGGTGTGCTTCCCTGTACAGATACTGACCTATGGGTGTGCTTCCCTATACAGATACAGACCTGTGGGTGTGCTTCCCTGTACATATACTGACCTGTGGGTGTGCTTCCCTGTACATATACTGACCTATGGGTGTGCTTCCCTGTACAGATACAGTCCTGTGGGTGTGCTTCCCTGTACATATACAGACATGTGGGTGTGCTTCCCTGTACAGATACAAACCTGTGGGTGTGCTTCCCTGTACAGATACAGACATGTGGGTGTGCTTCCATGTACAGATACAGACCTGTGGGTGTGCTTCCATGTACAGATACAGACCTGTGGGTGTGCTTCCATGTACAGATACAGACATGTGGGTGTGCTTCCATGTACAGATACAGACCTGTGGGTGTGCTTCCATGTACAGATACAGACCTGTTGATGTGCTTCCCTGTACAGATACAGACCTGTGGGTGCGCTTCCCTGTACAGATACAGACATGTGGGTGTGCTTCCCTGTACAGATACAAACCTGTGGGTGTGCTTCCCTGTACAGATACAGAACTGTGGGTGTGCTTCCCTGTACATATATACTGACCTATGGGTGTGCTTCACTGTACAGATACAGACCTGTGGGTTTGCTTCCCTGTACAGATACAGACCTGTGGGTGTGCTTACCTGTACAGATACAGACCTGTGGGTGTGCTTCCATGTACAGATACAGACCTGTTGATGTGCTTCCCTGTACAGATACAGACCTGTGGGTGTGCTTCCCTGTACACATACGGACCTGTGGGTGTGCTTCCCTGTACAGACACAGACCTGTGGGTGTGCTAGGACAGAGAAACCACAAGGGACAAGATCAAGGGGAAACGTATGATTTATTCATCACCCAGCGTCAATCGTCAGACAAGTTACAGTAGATAAGATACCCTGAATCTGCTCTATCTGTGTGTGGGCGTGTCGGTGGGAATTAACACTGTGGAATTCTACCGCATATCTGTGTGTTGTCAACTGTCAAACTTGTAGGTGTGTCAGCTCCAATGAGCACTCTAATGACCAAAAATTCCAATCAACATCAAAATTACTGCTATATAACAGCATTAACTCCAATGAATGGCTTTTTTTATTAATGTTATCCTCTTAAATGTATAAACAGGTTTGGTCCAAACAACTTCATTTGGTATTTCATTAGCTGGTATACAAATTATTAAAGAAATTATCCTTTAAATTGACAATTCTGATACACGAATACTGATTAATGCTAAATCAACAAACATTAATGTGCACGCATATATACCAGGTATAAGAATAGTAATACAGCTTACAATTTTGGAACAAATTCAATTAATGGAAATACGAAAGTATATAAAATATCTGTGTGTACTGTCTACTGCAACAAATACATAACATCAGAAATGAACATAAAAAATTCCCCCTGTTTACCGATCATAGATAACTATATAACAACTGCGGTCTTTAGTCTGCATGCAACATATTTATAGACTGAAACAAAGTCAAGCTCTGTAAAACACAACCAACTCCAATGGCAATGAAACCAACAATTTGGTGCTTGTTAAAAAAACATGATTATCTCTGAAATCTTGATTAATGATTTGTGTGTTTGTTGGGACTCTATACTTTGCATGGAAATGAAGAGAAGTTATAAAATTACCATGAATCTGGAGCTGTTATGTCACAGCCGAGTTGGAGCTGGTTCCACACTAAACAACGGCTGTGTTATACACAGTGCTGACTATGTGCTAAACTGTACACAGTACCATGCCAGAAGAGGTGTCAAACGAGAGGTTTAAATGAAGTAGAGTATGGCTTGTAGTTGTGGAATACAATTAACAGGCACACCACTTTGAACAAAATACACGAATTAAAGCATTGTCTTTGTTTTACTCTTTTGTTATGGTGACCGATTCATTTCAATTAAGGAACTTTAAACATGAAAATGAACATGGTTGGCCATTAAATTCAAATGAAGGTGATGTGAACAATGATACAAAAACTCAACTTAGAGTTGGAAGCAACCCATTGACTAGAAGTACCTATACAAACCTATCGGGAGAGCCCTTGTCATGTCCTTGACAAGCTTAACTCAGTCATCCCTTATGAAGTCAATATGTTGTGCTGTCGTGTCAATAACCTCTGCGTACACCTAACCTTGAAGTCTAGTTTACCAGAGAAAGTGTTTAGGTGATATACATATTGAGATCAATTCTAACATTTCCTGATGCAAGACAGACAAACTGGTATAAATATCCTTTAGAAATTTTACTTTACTCATTTTGCCATGCTAGATTCCACAAAATACCCTTATATTGATTTCTACAGCCAGTGTCACACCACTTGCTAGCCCTATCTCATGTTTCTATGTACAGCAGCCTGATGCTACCTGGTTATTACAGCAAAACCTTGTTACCTCATTACTACAACATCTTGTTATCTCATTACTACAACATTGTGTTACCATGTTACTACAGCAACATCTTGTTGCCTCATTATTACAACACCTTGTTACTACAACACCATGTTACTACAGCAACATCTTGTTACCTCGTTACTACAACAAAAACTTGTTACCTTGTTACTACAACATCTTGTTACCTCATTACTACAACAAGAACTTGTTTCCTTGTAACTACAACACCATGTTACCATGTTACTACAGCAATATCTTATTACCTCATTACTACAACATCTTGTTACCTCGTTACTACATTAACAAATCAGTGTCACCATTTTTACTACTGCAATTTCCCATAAAGAAGAACAACTGTCCTCTTAAATGTATAGACAGGTTTGGTTTAAACAACTTGCGTCAAAGTTTCTATGCCATTAAAACACAATATCTGATATACTATCAGCATTAAATTCTCCAGTACATTACCATGACTACTACATACTATTTGGATAGAGGCTGAGTGTCAGATGATTAAATAGTCACATAAACCTAATACACTTTAAACATTTCACAAAACACATGATACCATTCTACCATTCTACCATTACACAATGTAAATAACCCATTTACTTGAAAACACTTAAGCTTAATTAAAGCCTTACATCCTTTTACACGTAGAACAAATGTAAACTACATTCAAACCCCCCCCCCCCCCCCCCATAACATATTATTAAATGGACTATGAATATAAATTATAATTGGAAAGAGGGCATTAAATTTGATACCAATCACAAAATTGAAAGAGATCTGAATTACATCATTTCACACTGACTATGAATGTGTCAAATCATTAATGAGCAACTGTTTTAGAACCTGAGGCCTGAGTATGAAAACACTTAGATAACTGAATTCACTTTCTAACTTTGGGACACATTCTGATGCACAAGTTTTTACAATTTGTGAAAACAAGTGTCACAGCGCTATCCAGATGTTATCTACTAAATTGACTACAGGGAATTTCTTGTTGAGCTCCATCAGTAAAGCACTTGACTCTTGAGTATTAAATCTGTAATCCTGAGTTAGATTCCTGGCAGGTACTCCAAGATAAGTCTCATTTATGCTGCTCTCACAAGTGTGGCTTTGCTCCAGGACAAAAGTCTTTCCTTAGAGGGAGAGTATGTCACAGTGGTTATCCATCTTGTTGCATGTCACAGACTCGTCTACAACAAATTTCCATTTGGTACCATGAACAGAAAATCAGTATTTTGGTGTAATTGTACTTACTTGTACCAGCAAACCCCAGCAATGATTAGTCCAACAAAGGCAGCTAAACTGCATCCCGTCGTTATTGCTGAAAGAAAAGTAGGTTTTGCAAAACTGAATCAAATATGTTTTGTAAAATTACAAACACAAACAAGAGGCCCAATGGGCCTGCATCGCTCACCTGGTATTAATTTCACACTTGTAATCTTAATAGTGGACTAAATAACAGCTACAGGCAGAATATCAGTGTTTGATTCATAAGAGCCTCTTAAAAGATTTAAACATATGACGCCTGTGACCTTGAATGTCGAACAAGGACATTAGGTTGAAAGTGGGAAAAGGTCATTCATTTGAACTTGAATTTGGTAGCCCTTCATCCCAGCATGCTACAGGCCCAATATCAGTACTCTGGGCCTTATGGTTATTGAGAAGAAGTTGTTTGAAGATTTTAAGACATTTGACCCAAGTGACCTTGAAAGTTGGTCAAGGTCATTCATTCGAACAAGCTTGGTAGCCCTTCATCCCAGCATGCTACAGGACCAATATCAGTACCTTCGGCCTTTTGGTTATTCAGAAGAAGTCGTTAGAAGATTTTACGACATTTGATCCCTGTGACCTTGGAAGAGGGTCAAGGTCATTCATTTGAACAAACTTGGTAGTCCTTCATCCCAGCATGCTACTGGCCAAATATCATCAGCCTGGGCCTCTTGGTTAATCGAAAAGATTTTTTTGAAGATTTTGAGACCCCTGACCCCTGTGACCTTGAAAGTGGGTCAAGGTTATTCATTTGAACAAACTTGGTAGCCCTTCATCCCAGCATGCTACTCGCCAAATATCATCAGCCTTGGCCTCTTGGTTATTGAGAAGAAGTTGTTTAAAGTTAAAAGTTGACGCCGGACGGACGATGCACCATGCCAAAAGCTCACTTGGCCCTTCGGGCCAGGTGAGCTAAAAATACAATTTGGGAATAATTATGCATTTCCCTCAATTAATACTTTATGCACATCCTTTTTTTTAAATTCTAGACTCTATTATTCTGTCAAAGAAAGCTTTTGCTAGATTTGAAAGTTTTGTTGATCTACAAAATATAGGAAAGAAGAAAATTGTTAATTTTTTTATTGAACCTGAACGCAACCAAATTGTTTTTGTATTGAACCTGAACGCAACCAAATTGTTTTTGATCAGCTGATAAAGGCATGATAAAATATAATCACAAGGCTGTAAATCATGGTGTCTTTCATATCCTTAAGAATGTACCAGGCCCAAGGACCAAAATAAACAACCTAAGAGTCCGTCTACATTGTGGAAAATAAACATTAACAGTTCCTTAAAAATCTTGAGTGAAACATCGCATATGTTTATGTACATGTGTGTAAAAGAACACTTTAATAAAACGTCGACAATTTATACCACACTTTGATAAAATGTAACATTGCATTAATTATAATGGTAATGACATATCTTCCTGATAAGTTGTATCTTTGGTAGGTGAATTTATCAACAAACACAATAGAATTTGCCTTACTAAACCAATTTTTGTTGCAACTAAAATGTGAAATCCATTAGCATGCCACTGATGTTGAGGAAAATCGATTGACAGATCTTAACAGCTATACCTAGTGTTACTGAACGCTTGGTAGTCAAAGGCCAGACATTATACTACAAGGATTTCATACGTTTTAGACGCCATCCCACAGAAATTCTTTATCATTCATACATTTCAGTTTCATCAAAAGCTTTTCTGACAGCATCTTAGCATTATTGAAATGCACCTGTATGCTCAACAACTCAAAAATGAGTTATGGAAATAAATGCCATCATTCAAAATCCCTTTGTACCAAGTTTGGCACATGACTGAATACAACACTAAACAAGCTGAAATTGTCTTGTTTCAGAACAATGCATGTATTCAAGTTCAGCTAGTTGCTATGATGAAATTCATATTTGACGAAACTTCATTTTATTCAAGAATTGAATTGCTTTCAGTCGTCATTTCTACGATAAACAATACTAAACCAACCCCCCTGTTTTAAATTCAATTAAGAATAAACAGTATATTATCTTGATAAATGTATTATAAACCTCTTTAATTCAAATACTTTCTGTTGAAATAAAAATGGTTGATAGTTTTGTAGAACAGCATCCTAAATCTCAAACTGTTGTTTTTCATTCAATTGCACCAGGAGAGAGTGATGATGAATGAAAATAACAACAAGGTGGATGTTTCAGTGAAAACCTTGAGAGAAAATATACTCATAAAGTATGATACATTTAGGAAGAAAATTTCAGTGTTGCTAAATTGATGTCTTATAATTTGGAAAGATTTCATTGATCTAGTAACTATAAAGAAAGGAAATGTCTTACTTATAAAGAGGAAATCAGTCCTGGGAATGCCGATGATATGATCTGTTTCTTCGCTGTCACCCTTGTGGTGGACAAGTGCTGCGGTCTTAGGTGTAGGTGGATCTGTTGGTATCGACTCTTTAGGTGTAGAATTATCGGTCTCCTTGACATCCTTAGACACGTCAGGTGTATCGTCCAGTAATTCTGCAGCTGTACCCTTTGTGTCTACTAAAACTTCTTTGTCAATATTTTTGTCTTCATTTATTACAGCATCTACATCTGAGGAGAATGAAAACAAATAGACTTTACCATCAATGTTAGGCATTCAAGTTACATATATGTAGTTTACAGTGCATTTCCTTGTTTTGAATTACAAATGATGTGTATTTGAATACATTTTTATACATAATTATGTAGCTAGGTGTGACCTTAAGTGTAAAGTGACTAAAATACCACAAGCGATTCATTGCTTTTACATTTATGCTACTTATTGACTTATCTAGCAATAAGCTGGTATCTGGTAATACGCCCATCCTTATCTACTGTCCTTTAATAAACCCACACCTATTTTGAGTCTGAGAATATGTATTGAATCCCTGCACTTATTGCAGAACACTTATGGTCATACACACTTTGAAATAACCTAATCTGTTTCTTCTGACTTTTGCTTTACGACAAGATTTGTTGCATTTTTTTAAAGTATTATGCTGATATGTGGTACTAATTTATTTCAAAAATATGAAATCTACATCACAAACTCTAAGCTTCACAACATAAAAACAGCGACAAAATGTATGTTAGTGTCACACGCCTGTGATGTCTAGTTTCCAACATGAAAACAGCTAGTATCATATCCCTGAAATGTCATAATTAAGAGATTTGATGAATGGAATCATCCAACATGAATTGCCTATAGCACTGATCATGATTATTCCACTGTTTATAAAGTTTGTATTCATAAACCTTAATTTTTGATCCCACAGAAGTCAACTCCAAAATAGATCTTGAAAGACTGAGCAATGAGGAAAGTATTCCAGATGGACGGTCTTAATCTGACGTTAATCTAGTACTGATGTGATATTTATTGATAATTATAACAATAACTTGACACTTAATGGCCTGGGCCCCCCAAGCTCTGATAGTTGTTGCATCGATCTTTACCTAAGGGATGTGTTCTCTGGCTGCATTAGAACATGGTCAATACCTATTTGGGAATTCCAAAATGTCAGACTGAGAACCAGCCACAGCAGTGGTGCAATGCAATTAACTGTACAGTGTCATAGAAAATCTTACACAAATCTGGTAATCACGTATGAAGGTTAAGATATTTCGAAGTACAGTCAATGTATCTAGCGAAGTTAATTCAGATGTCGAAATCAACTACCCATCTTATCTCACAAAGGTAAAATCCTTCTTATTCAGAACAAAATGAGGCAATTTTCATCACCCATCTCCAAATTTGGTAAGTCAAATAACACCTATTTAGATACAGAGCAAAACACCATCCCTTACTTCTACTCAAACAAGTTAAGTACCATTCCTAAAGAAAACTGATTATACCGTAAGTAAAATCCTTCTTATTCAAATGAAATGAGGCAACTTCATCATGATCACCTATCTCCAAATCTGGTGAGTCAAATACCACCAACTTTGATGAGTACAACATTCTTACATAAATTCAACTCCAATTGGCCAAATACTTCTATCTTCAACTCCAACTCAATGTCTCAATGAGACCATATCATAATACCAGTCCCAACTCAGACAAATCAAAGCACCTCCCAAATACTGAACTCAATGAAATGAGTCAACTACCACTCCTATATAAATGTAACCCAAACAAGGGAGACAAATCTCTGTGTTAACTCCAATTGAGATGTGTACATGTCAAACGCCTATAAGCTAGCTACTGTCCCCATCTTCATTGTTCTTGTTAATTTTCCTTACAAAAGTCACAACACACATTCGAATAGATTCTGATCGACAGTGAAGCAGATTTTACTGTATTTTCTTAAACAATTTTATTTAGAATAATCCTGGACATCTGATAATTATCGAGACATTAAATGTTACACTTTAGTGCAGCTTTATTATCACCAAACCTAGGTATCATATTTAGTACTGTATAATATTAATCCAATCATAAACCGAGAATCTTATAACATTAAGTAGATACGATTGGTATACATATAGTCTATCTATAGGATGGAATCAATATATATGGTACTATAATCTACCTGTTAACCTTGAACACAATTTCTTTTTCTTCCAACAGTAATTATAACACAGATTATATTGTATAATTGCTGCATAACAAACTAATGAGGATGAAGATCGCGGTACACTGCTTCAAGGTCAGACAGTGGAAATGTTGCCCTTGGATTTATACACTGTGCTATAACTACAGGACTAACCACCACCTAGGGAGTTGGAACAGTTGTTCATATTGATAATGGTGTTCAAAAAGATATGTCGCAGCACACTACTTCAAACTTTTTAACGAGTATATTTTACACTAAGTATTGGGTAAGTTATATAGTGCCTATACATACACAATGTTTATACATAATTTACATAGCATTTTCTGCAATCTTCGAACATTTTTAAACTATAATATTTTGAATTTCTGGATTTCAAGTTACAATAAAAAATACCTTTGAGCATACTAAAACATCCTGATGTATTGCAGGAAAGTATGTGACAGTGTCGGGACATGATGTCAGTATGTGATGCTGTATTGTTGATTACTGTCAGGGAAGCATGTGACAGTGTTGGGACATGATGTCAGTATGTAATGCTGTATTGTTGATTACTGACAGGGAAGTATGTGACAGTGTTGGGACATGATGTCAGTATGTAATGCTGTATTGTTGATTACTGTCAGGGAAGCATGTGACAGTGTTGGGATATGATGTCAGTATGTGATGCTGTATTGTTGATGACTGTCAGGGAAGCATGTGACAGTTTTGGGACATGATGTCAGTTCAGTATGTGATGCTGTATTGTTGATTACTGAAAGGGAAGCATGTGTAAGTATGTGATGCTGTATTGTTGATTACTGACAGGGAAGCATGTGACAGTGTCGGAACATGATGTCAGTATATGATGCTGTATTGTTGATTTCTGTCAGGGAAGCATGTGACAGTGTTGGGGCATGATGTCAGTATGTAATGCTGTATTGTTGATTACTGTCAGGGAAGCATGTAGGGAAGTATGTGACAGTGTTGGGACATGATGTCAGTATGCGATGCTGTATTGATGATTACTGTCAGGGAAGCATGTGACAGTGTTGGGGCATGATGTCAGTATGTAATGCTGTATTGTGGATTCCTGTCAGGGAAGCATGTGACAGTGTTTGGACATGATGTCAGTATGTGATGCTGTATTGCTGATTACTGTCAGGGAAGCATGTGACAGTGTCGCAACATGATGTCAGTATGTGATGCTGTATTGTTGTTTACTGTCAGGGAAGCATGTGACAGTGTTAGTGTTAGGACATGATGTCAGTATGTGATGCTGTATTATTGATTACTGAAAGGGAAGCATGTGTCAGTATGTGATGCTGTATTGTTGATTACTGACAGGGTAGCATGTGACAGTGTTGGGACATGATGTCAGAATGTGATGCTGTATTGTTGATTACTGTCAGGAAATCATGTGACAGTGTTGGGACATGATGTCAGTACGTGATGCTGTATTGATGATTACTGTCAGGGAAGCATGTGACAGTGTTGGGGCATGATGTCAGTATGTAATGCTGTATTGTGGATTCCTGTCAGGGAAGCATGTGACAGTGTTTGGACATGATGTCAGTATGTGATGCTGTATTGCTGATTACTGTCAGGGAAGCATGTGACAGTGTCGGAACATGATGTCAGTATGTGATGCTGTCTTGTTGATTACTGTCAGGGAAGCATGTGACAGGGTTAGTGTTAGGACATGATGTCAGAATGTGATGCTGTATTGTTGATTACTGTCAGGAAATCATGTGACAGTGTTGGGACATGATGTCAGAATGTGATGCTGTATTGTTGATTACTGTCAGGGAAGCATGTGACAGTTTTGGGACATGATGTCAGTATATGATGCTGTATTGTTGATTACTGAAAGGGAAGCATGTGTCAGTATGTGATGCTGTATTGTTGATTACTGTCAGGGAAGCATGTGACAGTGTTGGGACATGATGTCAGTATGTGATGCTGTATTGTTGATTACTGTCAGGGAAGCATGGGACAGTGTTGGGACATGATGTCAGTATGTGATGCTGTATTGTTGATTACTGTCAGGGAAGCATGGGACAGTGTTGGGACATGATGTCAGTATGTGATGCTGTATTGTTGATTACTGTTATACATTACCTTTTTTCTCTGGAAATTTTGTTTCTTCTAAAAATATTTCTGGATAGTTTCGGCGTACAAGTTTACTCACAGCCTCCCTGAGGAAATTGTTTTTCTCTGCATGAAAAAAAGAAATAGCTTATTAATCAATTTTATATAGGATTCTCAATCAGTTTTTCTTTCAGTTTCATATGAAATAAATAGAACAAGTTAAGAAGTTTGTACTTAAGTTAGAACTGGGTCTTACTATAACTAATCTGGCGAAGTCTTTTAAAGTATTTTATGCTGGAATTAGTATAGCTCATATGCATGTTGACCTTTGACCACATCCACTATTCTAACTGATCTCGATGTACCAGGTACTTCCACTACTCACATACCGAAGTAGCACGTCTATTATTGATAATGTTGCTTGAAGTTTCCAACATCTTTGACCCGTATGATATATATATATATAGGATCTGAAATGAGTTTTCATTTCATATGAGATTTTATGAAACGAGTCTTACATTTTGACAGGTTTTAAAGCCAAAATGTAGAGGGCTTAATCAAACAGAGACAGACATTTTGTTGCGCCATTCACAATTTATGACGTCACAATCGATTTCTGACTGGCACAGCGAATGAACAACGCTCCATGGTATATTACACTAGTGACATATGTAAAAATATTACACAGGCGAATTCACTGGATAACAGGCCCATTATGTGATAAATATATTTATATAGCGCTGAAAGGTTTTAAATGTCCATGTGACAGGAAAAAATATAAATAAAACAAAACACGAAGACTAAGGCGATCAAAAAATTGATGGAAAGACAATGGACAGAAGATGGATTTTGCACCAGGTAAGCTAATAAAACTGAAATATTTTCAAGACATTTTTTATTACATTACCAAGAATATTTCCAATTATTGGAAACATCTTTTCTCAGACATTCGTTGAGTCTTCACTGGCATTATTTCAAAATTTATGTGCAGATTATCTTTAGTGTGACCTCAAAATATCATGACATCATATGTCAACTGTCTTAAGTATGACATCACAACTTGTGTTATTACATGAGATAATGTATAAAAAATACGACAACATTGTAATGACTGCAAAATATGGTAAAGTCATGTGATCTATAAAAATGTTATCACAATTTCCATTTTGTAGTTGTTGCTATTGATATTCCCCCATGTTATCTCTCCATGTTGACCGATTTCTCGCCTATGTGACAGCTACTGCATGTTAGTTACAGCAAGCCTGTGCTTGGCAAGATAAGAAATTGACATATGTTCATATATATACTGAACAAAAAAAGAAACGCACAAAGTTCCCCCCCTGCAGAAATAATGGAACATTTGGTCAGGTATTACATCAAGAACGATCTCCCTTCTCAACAATCTACACCCTAAAATCAGCCAAGCGTGACGATGTCATTGTGAGCTTCTTTAGTCTAAATCAGGTGGCGTGATCAAGCCAAGCCGGGTTTTTTCAAACAAATAATCTCAACGGATACTCTAAGTTCAGCCACATTAATTTTCCACGTTGGCATTTTGATTTCGCCATTGACCGAGATGCCACGCTTAACGCAAATTCAGAGGGGTAGAGCAATTGCGATGTTGATGGATGGTCATAGCCAAACTGCTGTCGCACGGCAGTTTGGTGTTGGCCCGTGTACAATTAACCGTCTCTGTACACGTTTCCGTGCTACTGGGTTAGTTTCCGATCGTCCCAGGAGCAGTCATCCGCGTGTAACGACCGCACGACAAGACAGGGCGATTGCGTTGCATACCTTAGGTACTCATGGCAGACCCATTAGTCCTCAAAGTGCCAGGAACCGCTTGCATGCCAAGAGAATCATTGCGTGCCGACCTTATGTCGGGCCACCTGTGACACCACGGGGGCGGCAAGTGCGTCTTGACTGGATGCGCAGACATGGCCCGAATAGGTTTGGGATGCGTCGATGGAGGCGTGTGATGTTCACCGACGAGTCTAGATTCTGTCTGTATCGCTCAGACGGAAAAAAAAGAGTATATCGCCGACGCGGTGAGCGTTTCGCCGACGCATGCGTGGTTGAACGCGATAGATTCGGTGGGGCTTCTGTAATGGTTTGGGGAGGCATCTCCCATGGAGTAAAATCCCCCTTAGTGGTCCTGGATCAAAACCTCAATGCCGTTCGATACAGAGACCAGATCCTCCAACCACATGTCCTTCCACTTCTCAGACGTCATAACCTAATTTTCCAGCAAGACAATGCTCGACCGCATGTTGCCAGAGTCTGTCGTGATTTTCTCACGGCAAACAACGTTCAGCCTCTGGAATGGCCCCCATATAGCCCCGACATGTCTCCCATTGAGCATCTGTGGGATGAGCTGGACAGGCGTATTAGGAAACGTCAAAACCCCCCAACTAACCGCGCCCAGTTGATCGCAGCATTAACACAAGAATGGAACAACATTCCCTTAAGGCGAATAAATGTTCTCATGAATTCAATGCATAGGAGAATCCGTGCAGGGATTCGTGCAAAAGGTGCCCACACCAGGTACTGAAGTGTCATCTTGTTTTTTGCGGGTATCCCACTTTGAGTAACTACTGATGACACGAGTGACGTCACAGAGACTTTTCTTCTACAGTATTTTAAAGAGTAGACTTGTCCCTTCATATTGATATAAAATTTTGTACAAATTTCCCAAAATATCATAGGCTATTGATTGCATAATTTAATTGTGCATTTCTTTTTTTGTTCAGTATATATATACAAACTATCAGCAAATGACATCATTTCTTCATCAATTTAAACGCTTGTCAATAACACACAGCTCATCTACAGTACCCGAGTACCTAAGGGGTCTAACAATAACAGTTCCGGTTCTTGGTTTTATAGGACTTGAAAAAAAAAAAAAAATGCCTCAGTGAAGTTGTGTTTATTGCTTTATTTCCCAGTGTATGGAACATTTTTTTTAAACTATTAAGAGACAGAGGGAGATGGAGAGTGACAAGACGATGTGACCCACTACTTGTAAACAGTACAACAAGCCCTGGTATATACATGACCCACTACTTGTAAACAGTACAACAAGCCCTGGTATATACATGACCCA